CACAGCGTTGCGCCCAGTGTGAAGCTATGGCGATCATCGCCTTGCCAGAAGCATGATGGCGGCATTCTCCGAAAAATGTTCTTGGCTTGCGCCGCATTCGTACTCCTCAAAGGCTGAACGCATATACGCACACTCTCTCGTTTACCTATATGGGTGTGGGTCAAAATTAAACCACCAGGATATGGACCGCAGGTTTTAGTCCATGTTTCCATTTACCAGGATTCCATGTTGGGTAATGTTGACCCCGGATTAATAAACCCCCTCCCATTCTTAGGGGGGTGTTCCCTCCAAAAGTGATGAATCCAACCACTAAAAGCGGACACCCCCCGATCAAATCAACCTGGGGTTTATTAATCCGGGGTTAACATTACTTCAACTGGCACTTTGAGATCTTGCCGCGACTCAACATCATATGGTCCGGATCAGAGGTCCGCGGCCGCAAGTGATCCAGACGTCCGACGTCTCGATCCAGACGTCCGGATCACCGAAAGATCCGTACCAGTTTTTTTGAGCCATAGTCACATACACAAATATATACATATATATATATATATATGTTATTACATGTATACGTTTACCATTGTTTGCTTATGATTGTGTTGAACAACCACTGGCATGACCCCATTCATGACTGAAACGAAGTCTGAATTGCTGCTTCATTCATGTGCCGGCTTGGGGCCCCTCCAGGGCCTTGGGTCAACGGGCCTGAGGACGGAGCATCTGAGGTCATTTGGCGCTGATCACTGACGACCCCGCTCACGCCCAGATCCTGTCGCGGCATGCCCAGTGCAAGCGCGCTATGGACCTGTGCCACCTGGCTGTAGCGCATGGGACAAGGGTCATGTTGGCTGGGCTGGGGGTTCGGGGTTTGGGGGGGTAGGTTTGGGGATTTTGGGGGGGGGGCGCGGCCAACCCCAGGTGGATGTTTCCCGATAGCGAGCCCCCGCAGAAAGAAAGAACATCACCTGCCTGGTTCGGCTGAAGTGGACCTGGAAGCAACCACAGAAAGAAATGGCCGTTCTGTTTCTAGCAGGGTAGGGCAACTGGGCAAAAGCAGGAGGAACGCCTGGGGAGACCATGTCAGGGAATCCAATTGCAGGGACACAGGGGAAACCAGTTGGATACGGGAGGATTCCCCTGTTTGATGCAAGTTGACTAAGTTTGATATGGGAAATGGCGCCAAGTTGGAATCCATATCCCCATATCCCCGCTCCCTCCGTATGCCCGCTTGTTCGTAGGTCCAACCATGCCGAGGGCGATCAGACAACTTTCAGTTATTTGAGGAGACGACGTTTCCCCCTCCCCCCAATGTCCATGGCCATAATTGCCCAGTTTGGGGATGCCTTTTGGATGTCCTTCGGAGTGAGCTGCTTCCTTGAAGATCTTGACACCTCCAAAGTGTTTGGTGTTCCGGTTCATGGCCTCTCGTTTCTTTTTCTCCGAGTCGAGTTGCAATTGACCAGGTGTAAGCCTCCGTTGATGAGTTGGGATGTGAAATTCTGAGCTTTGTAGCGAGCAGACGGGAACGCACTCCCTAAGCACCAAACCACCAATCCAATCCACCAATTGGAGGGAAGCTGAATTGAAACTACTTCTGACCCAGGTTGGTCCACGATCGGGGACAACACTTTGACAGCACACGACGAGGCAATCAGCATCCTCGTGAACCTGCTGACGTCACCTGAGACTCGGTAGGGCCTTTGCCCCGAAAAGTAGCTTGGGAGTTTCCGAAAATGCTGGGCTTCTTGGTTGGTTTGTTGGCGGGACACAAAATGGAAAACCGGAATCCCCTCAAGGAAACGCTCAGATGGGGCATACAAAGAAGATTTCCGCTTGCTCAAGAAGAGTCCTTTGCTCTCCTGATCCAAATGCAATCTGAAAGACAGTGAAAGAGGACCTCGCCTCTTTGAGCCGAAGCCGCGTTCCAATCCACGTGGGCCTATGCGTCTTCTTCCCTCAGGTCTGCTATTTGGAGGTGGGCCCCCCCCCATTCAGTTCCCCCCCCCAACGAACACGTGGAGTTGTTGTATACAACATGGTTACCAACCGTAGAAAAAGGTACCAGCCATAAGTGTGGCACCCGACCCAGACACCGAGACTGCTCTGTGGGTAACTTTTCCGACAGGGGTGAAACAGAAAAAAAACATCATGTTTGGTGGTTTCCCTACTGCTCACCCCATGTAAAGGACCATTGGATCAACCCCCATATCTCAACGCCCGGTGACACATGGACTCCAAGCCTTGCTGGTTCAAGGGTTGGCAACTCGAGGACACGCGGGCGCTGGTGCTTCGAGGCTTCACAGAGCTCATGCAGAGCAGCGGGTCCTGCCAAATGCTCTTAGTGCACGCGGCTCGGCGTTGGCCCGAAAAATCCTTCCATCGGGAGATTTCCATTCACCGCCTTTTAAACCCCCTTTTAGATGTGTTCCTAAAGATCTCACTTCCCAAATCCCTGGACATATACTTTTTGGGAAGACCATACTGAGAGCCATTTTTTGTCCGAACCTGGTCCCCCCCAAGACGGACCACAGTCCAGCATATAGATCTCTTCTTTGGGGTTTGGTCTAGGGTCAGTGGCACCTGGCAGTCAACAGGCATAGACAAGCTGAGGAACCGAGAATGTTTCGTTTCCCTCAGTTGTTCAAAGCCGACCTTTTGACCTTTTGGTTTCCCCTTTTGGTCTATCTTTAGTAGAGGTCCCAAAGGGTTAACCTTTTATGTTCAGGCCCTTTGGGCAACCTCTTCAAGCAAACCCAAGACCGTTCCGGATTTTTGCTCCTGTGGGATTTCTTGCTTTTCGCCGTCCCAATTGTTTGCCACCCAGGGCAAAAATCTAGTTTTTGCTGGGGACCTAGTTCCAGGCAAGGGAAGGCGAGATAATGGCCATCTTTGTCATCTTGCCAGGCCCCGTTCACATTACCCATTCGGCACGGCGTTCAGGGATGGAAAGTCCAGGCCAACCAGTCGAACTTGATTGGCTGGTAGTTGGGATGAGCAGGCTGAGCGGGCCTGACCTATTTGGCCACAAGAGAAGATCGCGACATGGGAAGGTTCCACAAGCATCAGCGAGTGTTTCCGAGTTCTCGCGCCTGTGAGGTGTCCAGGTCAGGTCATTCCTTGCATCACTTGACTGAGGGCAAAGAACACATCACCAGTGTTGGGGTTCCCCTAGTTTGAGACAAAGCTGCTCTAGCAGCAACAAAACCCAGCACTTGCGATTCGATTCAGTCGCAGCATCCTAATCATTTGCATCGTGGCCTTGCGCCTTACCTTGCCACTGGTGAAGGCCTTTTGTTTTTCTCTCTTCGGTTGCTCATGTCACCCCGTTTTCAGACATCATTTGGTGTCTGGAGCGAGAGACACTGACATCCAAGAAGTCATGCCACGGCGTTTGGTTGCATTCTCCTTCAAAAGGCTGGCTCCAAGTGAGACGTCGCACTTCAAGCCAACCTCTTCATTCCAGTTTGGCTGGAATGGGAACCCTAGGAAGACCACTTGGAAGGCCACTATTGGCTGATCGACAAAATGTTCTTCGCACCAGCAAGGTTCGTTCTAGCATTGATAGGGCTTCATCCATTTCAATTTTCAATGAAAATGGGTTAGGGCAGTCGGAGATCGTTTTTTTTTTGCTCCACCGCTGGTGTCCTAGGTGGACATGCCAGTGCTCGCGCACCACGTGGTGAAGGTGCGCGGCTGCAATCGGATGCATTTTCTCCGATGAAAAAGAAGCCTTCGATTCGAATCTCTGGAATCGCAGGGCCTAGTCTTTCTCTGGTGGCCCTTCTTTGGACCTGAAGCGGCTGTTGGAATCCACCGGTTCGTTATTGGTTGCCACTGTTGAAGGGGCCCTTTTTTTCTTCAAGCCCCTGCTGACTGCCCCGTGTTTGTTCTCAGGTCTGCGTCCAAAGAGGTGAACCTCCCAGCTAGCCAAGTTGCGATTGCTTCTTTTCAGCCACTGTTGCTGGATTTTGGAGTAAAGTGCATGGCAAAAGGCGATCGCAACTGGCGATCCAGGCTGTGATTTCATCTGCTGTTTCAGCTGACTTGCTTGCAATTTGGCCGGAGGCGGTTTGCAAGTGCGGCGCCGTGGACGAGAGGGACGTGATTCGAGTCTTGGTCGCATGGAAAATCGGTCCGAGCAATCATGCGTCCAGGAGGGAGACAACATGGCAGAAAGAAAGATTTGGAACCCGTTGGGACCGTTTGAGTATGCAGGGTTTGCTCCATTTCCCGTCTTGGAATCTATCTCCAGTGGCAGTTTCTCTCTGGAAACGAGCAGTCAATTACGTACAACTTTTGAAGGGGAATTCCAGGACCCCTTTTCTTCCCCAGAATTAGCTCCGCTTTTTGTTTTGTTTTGGCTTTTTTGGGGTTCCCTTTGTTTTCCACTAACCAGGCAAAAAGGATACTTTTGCTGGGGTCCTAATTCCAACCTAGTTTTATAGACTTGAAAAGGACTCAGGCTGACTTGAGCAGGTTGACCTGATACTGTAAGATTGGGATCTGCTGATGCGTGAGACCCTCTTTGGGGAAGGATCTCGTCGGATCAGCTGAGCCCCTGAACTGATCCCAGAAGCGTGCAGCTTCACAACAGCCTCCATGGACAATCTGGAGGACCGGGACGTTTGGAAGCGCACGGGGAAGACAGGGGAGACACGGACTCCAAGTGCGTCCAAAGAGGTGAACCTCCTAGCTAGCCACGTTGCGATCGATTTCTTTTTTCAGTCGCTGTTAAGCTGGTTCTTGGGGTTCTTTTTGCATGGCAAAAAGCGATCGCAACTGGATCGATCCAGTGATGTCATTTGCTGGTGCAAACATGTTGGAGACATTTGGAGACCGTGCGTCCACCGAATTGAAGCATTGTAGCCGATGTGTTTGGGCCCATTCGATTTGCATTCTTCAATATTTGCAGCCAACCGCTGGACAGTCGAATTATCTCTTTGTTTGTGCTACTCGGATTGTTATGCATGTCGCGCTAGCTCGGTTTCAGGCTTACTTCAATGGCTGTGGCTCAAATAAATGTACCAACATTGAACCTGGGTAAATGGAACCAACGACTAAAGTCTGCGTACCCCTATAGCTGGATTGTTTTGAGCTGTTGGGTTGGGGCTAACATATATGTATACAAATATTTGTATATAGTGTTCTGTAGGATATACATGTTTGTACAAAGTATGCGTTCAGGGGAGAATAGCAATAGGCAAGGCCGACCCTTTGACCGCACAAGTGATGGCTGAGATTTCCCATTTTCAGAGTGGCGTTCTGGCTGCATAGCCTTTGGCCACTGTCAACATGGCAGAGGCCCGTATGCGTTGCTTCACGAAGTGGGACGTTTTGGATGCAACTGCAGAGAGGGAGAGAGACCCTTTGACTGTCCGCTTGTTTTTTTTTTACTGTTTAAGATGCGTCGCAGTGGGCATTTGGACCCGCAGAATGGGTTGTCGCATATGTTTCCTTGCAACCAGCCCAGCAACCGGCACCACTAGCTTGAACAGGTCGTTTTTTGCGCCTTTTGGGCAAGTGAATCGCCTCGCAATTCTGTTGTCGCGCCCTTTGCAGGACCGGGTGGATATTTGCAAGGCGATCATCGGCACGGACGGAGGCGACAACTTCATGTTCCACCTGCTCGCGTCTTGGCTGCCCGGGTGCTGCATAGAACGCAATCCTGCGTTTCCCCAAAGGAGCCAAAAAGGGATGGACAGTTGCTTCTTGTTCCAGAGCCCCCTTGTTTGCACAAGCTTGCCACCTGTGATCTGACTTTTTGTGATACTTTGCCCCCCCACCTTCTCCCCCTCTGGAAGAAGTGCGTTTTCCTCCTTCTCAATCATTGAGGGCACTGGCCAGCTAATTCGGTTCCTGTCTTGTTGCAGCGGGAGCTCAACGGGTGTGGAGAATTGCGCAACCGGGGGGAGGTTCCCCCAAAAACAGTACCTGCCCTCTTCGGGCTGCCCCGTTTCCCCAACGGCCCCAGGTCGCTTCGGTTTTTCAATTCGAGGACTCCTGGCCTGCGTCACTGGGAGAGTTGAGGCTCATCGAGACCTTGGCCGCCTGGCAAAGGGACGGGCCTGGCGTTGGGTGAAGAAGGCTTCCAGGAAGGATCCTAGGATCCCAGCATATCCCAGCCATCGGTTTCCATTTGACCCACCAAAAGCTAAGCTTTTAGTAGGGGATCTGAGGACAGCCCAGTTTTCTTTCAAGGGAATTTGAAGTGATGGATTTTGTTTCGAAGTTTTGGGGCCAGCAAGGATCCCAAAATGTTTGGCCAAAAGATGGGTCGGTCAGTCGGCTCCAAAGGTTTGAACCCCTGCCCCACACACAGCTCCTTTGTGCGACGCGCGGCTGTGAACACGAGCCAAACGCCTCAGAAAGAAAGCAAATAAAGCAAAGAAGAACCGCCAATGAACATCACCATGAAAACCCAGGCAGAAGAATGAGTTGCCGTTGACATTTGTGTTTGGAAAACGCGCGTCCCTGTTTTGGGAAACACCCGTCTCGGACGACCCGACGCGTTTTGTTGCACACGTTGCCCCCTCCCAGGACTGGTTTCTGACCTCGCCCGTGGAGACCCTCATGTGGGATGCGCAGACCAGGCCAGCTGAGCTTTCCAACGCGCAGAGGCGGTCGGTTCGAGGCCATTGGTAGGTCACCTACCCCAGTAACAGAGAATTATCCATCCCACCTGGGGCAGGGTATTGGTAAGTTCAGCAGGTAATTCTACCATGGGGAGGGTCTAGTAAGGCTAAAAGACGGTGGGTGTGGGCAGTGTTTTCATTAGGGGCACCTGAAGCAACTGGACGCTTGTCACGCGTGGCCCTTGCGTTTCTCGCAGTTTCGCAGGTGAAGCATTATTTGACAGACCTTCATGTCGCAAAAATCAAAGATTTCAGAGCCAGGGCCTGCTCAATACAATGGTCGGGTGTTTCGAATTCGGAACCCCTCCGAAGAAAACCGAAGCTTTTTTCAGGCGGGACCTCTTATTTGTGCAAGACCCCTTACCGGGGTTTGGCGGTGTAATAACCATACTCAGGGGTCATCATTATTTTGACGGTTTCTGGATGTTTTCAAAGTCAGAAATGGGGTTAGTATCCCTTTCACCCACCACTTGGGGGGTGACTTTGACCAAGGTAAAATAATGCGGCCAGTCTTAACATTGAGTACTCTCCCACCCCTTTCACATGGAACCGTTCGACGTTCGGCGGGGCCCTGGTTTGGACACCAAGACCATCTTCCTTTTAAAGGCACCAAATCCCGAACGTTACTCGGTGCTTTGGGGACTCCAAAATCCTACAAAAAAGCGGGTTCGGACACAAAACCTGGTTTTCAGAGGGCAAAGCCAGCTTTTTTTCTTTGCCCATCCCACTTTTTTTGGTAGGTTCTTCGAGTCCCAACCACCACTTAGGGGCTGACTTTGACCATGGTAAAGCAATGAGGCCAGTTCCTTGGTGCTTTGGGGACTTGATCCCCTGGCAAAAAATACACCGTTCTTAGATTCTTCGAGTACCAGGTTGCAGAAATTCAACCCAAAGTTAAACTTTTAGCAGGGGAGCAGAAAGCCACCGAGTTACTTGCTGCGTTTTGATCTAGGCCCTTTTAGCGTTTCTTTTTGGGGGAGGGTTCCCCTACTAAAATAGACTACAGAAAAAAAGAAACGGTACCAACTTATTCTAACCTCTCTACTGCAGGACCTGGTGCTTGCGCTTGACCCCCTAGCAGCCAAGATAAAGTCCGCCCATTTTATGGCGAGCTTTGGGGGTATAAGCCATGAGAAAGGTCCCTTGCGTGATACAATGATTCAGGTTTTGGAGTAGTAAAAGAAGCAGATCAATAAGTTCAATGAGTATTGCCAGTACCCACATAAGCAGATCAATGTGAAAGTACCGCGAGTCAGCCGAGTGAATGGACCGCTCCGCGCGAGTCGCGAGGCAGCAGGACTTCGCCAGCGCCTGGCTGCGGCTGCTCTGCAGCGCGCTGATGCAGCCGGAACCGCTGCCCGCGCGCCGCGACGGGCGACGGCTTCGGCTTTTGGGGCGCAGCCGGTGGGGTAGGCGTTTTTAGGACCAGAGCGAAGCCTCTTTGAGGGGGGGGGGGGTCGTGTTGTTTTTCTTTCTTTCTTCTTTTTGTTGGCAGTAAGATGCGTACGTAGAGATGAAAGCAAGTACGAACAAAGATCATACCAATTTTCCCACGGCTGGATCAATCCCAAGATGTCCTCTCGACTGGGCCACTGGGCGTGATTTTGAGAAGGAACAGCGCGAGGGCGCCAAAGCTGGGCCCAGCAAAGTGTCTCGCTTGAGGTTTGATAGGGCAACCCCGCCACCAACTAGCAGCCGTAACCCGAAGTTCGGGGGTCCCTTTAAAGGACAATGGTCCAAACCACGGTGCAACCGAGAGACGGAGAGAGAGCGAGAGAGAGAGAGGACCCCCGCACGTCAGGTCCGGGCTGTCGATGGGTGGGAGGCCCCTTTGTTTTACTCCGTGGTTGGTTTAACTCACTTCCCCGAGCGGACTTTAAACCTTGAGACTGTTTGAGATTGGTTACCTTTTTGATAAGTAATCTCACTGTTCTTGGCATGTTTTTTGGTTTTTTAGTTTTTGGTTCTGTTCATTTTTGCTGGGGTACCATACCAGAGTAGAGATGACATGTTCCGGCGAAATCTATGGACCTGAGGTTCATTCCCAGAAATGAGCGAGCCGCTCACCGAAGGTTCCTTCAGCTCACCCGAAGAGGTAAGCTCGAACCGAAAGCGAGCAAAACTTTCACAGGGCTCCTTAGAATAAATTCATTTTGCCACCTTTTGAAACATGTTGCTTTTTCAACACCAAAATAAAGGGAACCCACCATTTACAAGTTGCAAAGTTCAGGTGCATAATGTAAGGATCCCTGTTTCATGAAAGCTTTGGAGGCCGTGCCAGCAGCTGGTGTAGCCCGCCTGCATGCAACACGCTCATTTCGAGTTCATCGAAATGAGCGCAACACACGGAGGGTTCCATCAGGCGATTTGAAGGGCAAAGGAAGAGACAGAGACGGAGACAGAGACGGAGACAGAGACAGAGACAGAGACAGAGACAGACAGAGACAGAGACAGACAGAGACAGAGACAGAGACAGAGACTGACAGAGACAGAGACAGAGACAGAGGCAGAGACGGAGACAGAGACGGAGACAGACAGAGACAGAGACAGACAGAGACAGAGACAGACAGAGACATAATTTGTTACCCTACACCAATACTGCTCACAGCTCGCGAAGCACTCGTTCGCCAACGGATGAGGCAGGCGCTGGGAAACACGCTGCAGATCGCTGGGGCGTTTCAGGAGGTCTTGGTGAAGGAGCTGTCGGGAGTGGGTGCCGAGTCTACGAGTCTTACCACGGGGCTTTTCTTAAAAGCAGCGGTGCTGGTGGACTTGTTCCCCAAAGGATTTCCAAGTTGCTGGTGGATTTGTTTTGGGGATGTTGCTGGTGGATTTTGGTTTGGATTTGTTTGTATGCTGTGGGCCTGGTGGAAATCAAGTTCACACGGCCTTGGGCTGTCAGTTGTGGAAACAGGCCCATGGCCAGAAACACCAGCAATGTGGAGTTGGCAGGCCCCAAACCCTGCTGTTGATGTAGCCATCCCTCAAACAGCCAACCTTTTGATTGGTTTGTTTTCCCAGCTGTTATGTTTAGTGAAGCTTCCAAAAGGTCCTGCTATTTGCATGTCCTTTGGTTGCAAGTGAGATTTTGGTCTACACGTGACCTCGCAAGCCGATGTCACCTATTCTTTCTAGGGCCGACTATTGCCCCCACCCACGCACCCCGCAAGGGCAGTTTGTTCGAGCAGCTGGTCACAAACCTGGTGATGGGCATTTGCTTCAACAAGGACCCCGAGAAGCTTTGACGCTCAATCGCACTTAGGCGCTCGCTCGCGGTGTTTGGGGACTGCCATGTGCTGAAATGAAGATGGTACAATTTTGTTTGTGGTTTTAAAGGGAGTCTATCACAAGTGGACATGTTTTTTTTCAAGGGGCTTCAGCAAATGGAAGCTGGGGTTGCTCTCTCATTGTCCGCACCATGCTGGCATCTCGGAGTTTCGCCCTAGTCCTCACCGCCTTGCAGCCAGTCAGGTGAAGGAATAGCTCAATTGTACAAAACCGACCTTTGTAACCTTTTGGTTTTCTTTTTTTGATCCATACTTAGTTAATGTCTTCAAAGGTAAACCTTTTATTTCCAGGTGCGTTGTTCAAGTGGCAGGAGCGATCGCAGAGTGCATAGAGCCGAGCTCTACGGTCATCACTTCTGGTGAACTTGACATAACTTGACCCAATTTCCCACGCATGGGCTTTCTTAAGTGTGGGTTTAAATATCACCTGTGTAGCCTATTCATGTTGAGTTTTCGAGGGGTACCATGCGGCCCCGCCCACCCCAAAAAATCAGATAGGTTTTCCGTTTGCTTTCTCTTTGGACCACCTCCAAAAAGAAGGGTACCCCCAAAAAATGGGCACGTTTTCTGGTTGTCCCTGAATTTTTCCCAAAGTACTCGCAAAAAACGACACACCCATTGAGGGGATGGCAGGTGCCACCATGTACTCGGTGCGGCAGCTTCTGCAAGACGGGCTGGTGCAGCGCCTAGCTGCGCATTCCCGCTTTGACCGGCCCTCAGAACTGGATGCGTCGGGTTTTTTTCTTTTGACTGCCACTGGGTTATGGATCTTTAGACATTGACTTTTTGGTTGAAATCACAAAGTTGTCCACTCAACCCCCAGAAAGTCTTGAACTTTTTGCAGGGGGGTCAACAGCAGCCAAGTCTTCAGCACTCCCAACAACATCTGTCCAAAGTCCCCTCGGAGCCTCGGTACAAAGGCAGTGGTTGTGGGCTTCTCGTCAGATTTGTTTGTCTCGGTGTCAGCTTGCAGCAAACAGAAACCGACAAATCTCCGAGTTTTGGAGAGGGGGCCCGAGGTTGCCACCCGAAACCGCCGGAAAGTGGTGGTAGAATTATGCCACCCCAAAAAAAAACCGCCCATTTCGACATCTCCCAATTTCTGTGAGGCAACTTCTGCATGCCGATGCCGTGTCATGCAATTTCACCTGAGAAGGTCCCAAGACGACCTTTGAGCTGGGCATGAGGCCTTACATCAGGCCTGAAATTGGCGATTGGGATTGGTGGGGATTCGTCCATCAACAGTAGCTATATTATGAGGAAGCTGTCCGAGCCATTTTGCACCTTCGCAAACCTCTCAAGTCAGATAGGCACCCCCTAACATGCAAGCCACGAAATGAAGCGACCAACTGGGGCTAAGGCTAAGGTGTCCCTTCCAGCAAAGGCTTCCAGGATGTCCAGTGTATGACCAGCACCCTGCGTTTCGGTTCAATTGCAAAGCCCCGCGTCGAAGTGAACTTGAGCCACAATCAAACCTCGGGCAGAGGAAGGTTAGCCACACTCCCAGCCAGGTGCGGAGATCCGGCCTTTGAATTCGTTACATGGTTTTTTGGCTAGGCCATTCAGCAGGGTTTGATGACAGCCAGGCGTTTGTTTTTTTGGCTCAGGAGACCCTGGTGTCGCTGGTGGTTGCCAACCTTCGCCTGGCCACAGAGGCCGGGAGGGGTCCTTTCCGACCGACCGAAGGAGTCGGTTGCGATTCATTCGGCGGAATGCCTCACACAGACCTTGCCAAAGCTTGGGCTCCCAAAGATGCCCTCCTGTCCGCGAGTTATGGGACCTGACTGACGGGTTTCCTTTGATGTTAACATGGACCCTCGGATGGCGCGCCTGGGAGTTGCAACCTTTCTTGAGGTTCCAAGCGTGTTGGTTGTTTTAAGCGGGAACCAAGGGGAGACCAGCCACTTTGAGGGGTGCCTTTTTCACTCAGATCTTGCTGGTGGCTTCGCATGCTTTGGAGATCGAAGCGCATGTTAAGTGTAATTCAATCCATGTTGGACCTTGAATTTCGGGCATCCGCAATTGAATTTCGGAAAAAATCCCTGAATGGATTAATGCACCTTGTAATTCAATGCACCTGGTAATTCAATCCATTAATCCCTTGCAAGTTCACGTGGCATCCCACAAAATGCAGAATCTGCCAAGGGGGGGGAGTAGATGTCGGACCTAAGACCTCTTGGCACTTCCACTTTGCAGGTCTATGGAGTGGCTAAACCTCAAGCCAAGGGTCCAGATGCCAAAACTGCAGCAACAGTCTTCGTCAATCTTTCCTTGTTTTGTTGCTCGTGTCGAATATGCTTTAAATTGTGTCTTTTGTATATATGTTTCAGTATTCGCACCAATAGGGCGCAGTTATTAATAGGGGAAATGATCATAGGGAGGATTGCAAGGTCTTCACTTCAGCAAGCTGATTCCCAAACTAGGGGTCCCTGTTGGATGGCGGAAAGGAAGCCGCGGCAGCAAGCCAGATGACAAATCGTTTCCGTCCACGTTTAGTCAAGTTGACACAAAAGAAAGCTTTCCCTCCCACCAACAAACAGCCGGAACCTGACAGAAGGTCCCTTCAACATGAAACAACTCC